GACCTGTGCTTTCTGCAACGGTGCAGTGACAGCCCCGTGACCTGTGCTTTCTGCAACGGTGCAGTGACAGCCCCGTGACCTGTGCTTTCTGCAACGGTGCAGTGACAGCCCCGTGACCTGTGCTTTCTGCAACGGTGCAGTGACAGCCCCGTGACCTGTGCTTTCTGCAACGGTGCAGTGACAGCCCCGTGACCTGTGCTTTCTGCAACGGTGCAGTGACAGCCCCGTGACCTGTGCTTTCTGCAACGGTGCAGTGACAGCCCCGTGACCTGTGCTTTCTGCAACGGTGCAGTGACAGCCCCGTGACCTGTGCTTTCTGCAACGGTGCAGTGACAGCCCCGTGACCTGTGCTTTCTGCAACGGTGCAGTGACAGCCCCGTGACCTGTGCTTTCTGCAACGGTGCAGTGACAGCCCCGTGACCTGTGCTTTCTGCAACGGTGCAGTGACAGCCCCGTGACCTGTGCTTTCTGCAACGGTGCAGTGACAGCCCCGTGACCTGTGCTTTCTGCAACGGTGCAGTGACAGCCCCGTGACCTGTGCTTTCTGCAACGGTGCAGTGACAGCCCCGTGACCTGTGCTTTCTGCAACGGTGCAGTGACAGCCCCGTGACCTGTGCTTTCTGCAACGGTGCAGTGACAGCCCCGTGACCTGTGCTTTCTGCAACGGTGCAGTGACAGCCCCGTGACCTGTGCTTACTGCAATGGTGCAGCGACAGCCCTGTGACCTGTACTTACTTTTGTTTAAACACAGACTCCTCATCCAAACTCAGCTTTTTACGCATGGTCCCCTCAATCTCAGCTGCCAACGATTCCTACAAAAGGGAGTTTAAGATTTATAAAGTGACTACCACCCTCAAATGAATTAAGAGCCTATACAGTGTGTATTTTTATGATTTATGACATAACAAAGGAAATACAAGAAAATGTAGACTAAAATTCAAAGGGGGAAGAGCGACGGTGAACAAGAACCAACTACCTTTTCATGACGCATTTTTCTAAGGTGGCAATGGACAAGACCCGTAGATGAGAAGTCAATACTGCTTATGTAGAGACACAAACACAGGCGGTCTGACAGCCACAGACCACGGCAAACCTGACAAACACTTTCTTGTAATTTGTATGGTTTTGATAATTTGCTCAGAGATGAGGATCCGATTGGCATGGATGTCATGCTTCGTGGGTTTGGACTGAGGGTGGCCGGCTCTGCAGGGACTGAGCACCTGACTTTTAACATCCAGAGGTGCAAAGACAGAAGGACAGATATGTAGTCTGAGGTGTGCATGGAATACATCTATCCCTGACCTGACGGCCTGCGAGAGTCCAGAAGCCACGATACTTCAGTGGTGACGCACACCTGGCACCCAGGTCTGCTGAGGAACATTTGTTTACGCTGTCTGAAGACGCAGCACCGTTATTGGTTAATAAAGAGCTGGAAGGCCAATAGCTAGGAGGAGAGAAAAGGGGGTCTTCTGGGCAGACAGAGGAACTCGGGATGAATCTAGGTGCATGAGAGATGCCCGCTGGACACTGAAGACAGACACATGGTACAGAGCAGAGGTAACCGAGCCACGCCACAGATGTAGATTAACAGAGACAGACTAATCTGTTATAAGAGCTGGCTGGGAAAAAAGTCTGAGCTAAGGCCAAGCTATCACGATTAATAACAAGTCTCTGTGTCATTACTTGGGGCTGGCAGTCCAAGAAAGTTCAACAAGAAAGCTTGCTACACAGGCTTTGGACTCAGAATGTCAGTTCTCAAAGTTATCAAAGCTCCTTGGAGCAATGGCTGACTCGGTAGCTGTGTCCCTTTGTAGTTGATGGGAATTGGAAGCGGCTTTGTAGGGTCGTCTTTCCCTTCCACCGTTTGGGGTCTCGGCTGACCTCAGGTCGTCAGTCATGGCGGGTTATATCTTTATGCACTGACCCATACATAGTGTTTGTTTTTTAATATGTGTATTTATTTGGCAGTGTGAGAACTGAACTCGGGACCTCGTGCACGCTAGGCGAGTGCCCTGCCACTTACAGCTCTAGCATTCTGTGCTTTAATTTTTGATTTTGAAATAGTTTGAAACTTAGAATAAAATTCTAAGAAATAGTACAAAGAATTTTTATGCATTCTTCACATGCATCATTAATATATTTGGTATTCCCTCTCTCAGTGGTTTTTGTTGGTTGGTTGGTTGGTTGGTTGGTTGGTTTTGTTGTTGTTTTTCCTGAACTGTTTTATAGCAGGCCTCAGATATCCCTGTGACTACTTAGTGCTTAAGTTTCTGTTTACTAAAGACAGGGACAAAGTTTAGTAGAGACAAGGACATGCCCGATGATGGCGCTATAGTTGTCTGTTATTACGACACTGTCGTTCATCCACAGAGCCCGGTAAGATTTTCCCAGTTCTCCCAACAATGCCTGTTAGTCTATGACTTGTGTGTTTATTTCCTCATTATTTATCCAGGCATTCATTTCAAAGGGGTCTCTCATTTCGAAGTTAGCTCGGCTCAACTGATCCTCTTGACTTCTTGAGATCACATGTGCAGGCCACGGCACCCAGCTCCAAAAATGCTCTTTGAAGGATATGTCTGGGTTCTACCAAGATCTGGCTTAGTGGTCAAAGGCCTTTGCCACTCAAACCTGGAAGCTTGTTCGATCCCCAGACCCCACTTAAAGATGCATAAGGAATGGAGCCAGAAAGAATGACCAGGAAAGGAAGAAAACAACTGTTAATAGGTGTTAGTGCACGCGCGCACACACACACACACACGCACGCATGCACACACACATGCACGCTCTAATTGTGTTCTACCATTCCCCAAATACTGTTTATTAACAAATTAAAAAACTCAACGTTCCTATCTGCAAGAGCCTTACCCTCTAGGTAGAGTTAAACCGCCAAGAAACTTGTACTTGGTAGAGGTGCGGTGTTTACAGTGTGCCCAGGGCTCACCCGGCAGAGAGAGAACGCCTCTAGACAGTTGTCGTAGTCAGAGTTTCTGCTGCTGTGACAGATCACTGTGACCAAAAGCAACTTGGGGAGCCAAGGGCTATTTCACCTTAGGGATGAGGAGTCTAGCAGCCAGGGAAGTCAGGGCAGGAATCGGGAACAGGAGCTGGTGCAGAGGCCGTGGGGATTTGCTTCTCCTGTTTTCTTCAGGACCAGTGGCCCAGGGGTGGCCCAGCACAGTGGCTGGCCCTCTCATATCAACCTTTAATTAAGAAAACAGCCCACAGGTTTGCCCATTGGCCTATCATCTGGAGGGATTTTCCCAATCGAGAGTCTCTCTCCCTGAATTACCCTAGCCTGCATCAAGTCGACAAGCTGTCTTCTGACCTCCATATGTACACATGACACATGATAGGCACATAGACATGTACATACTCTAAATGGGGGTAAATTAAAAAAAAAAAAGGTGGAGCCAGGGAGATGGCTCTACAGGCAAGGATTTGCTTCCATGTCTGACGATCTAGGATCCACATCGCGGTGGCAAGAAAGAACCAGCTTCTACAAGTTCTTCCCTGACCTCTGCACCCGTGTGAAGGATCATGTGTATTAAACAGACGCAAAGCAAACAGACATACAGATTAAAAAGCATGGCTTAAGTGGTGGGTCTAAGGTAGGGGAACCTCATTTGAGTGAGCTGTGGCACACAGATCAAAATCCAACTTCCCTAGACTTTACCTCCAACACTGCAGCAAGTTAGACTATCATCTGGGACATTTAACATGAGTGATAAGGAAGATGTGGTACGCAGATTAAATCCTGACTCAGTAACTGCATCCCAGAAGCAGGAGCAAAGCATGGTCTCTCTTTTCTAGCTACCTGACGGCATCATAAGTCACAGCACACTCTGGAGACAGAACCCAGGCTTCTCTCCCCTTCTAAAGCACATGGTGGCTTCTTGTCTCTTACCCCCGTGAAAACTCCGTAAGCCTGCGAGAAGCCGAGGTGGGCGGCCGGGCCACACTTGCTGCGAAGCTCTTTTATTTCTTCTTGGGACTCGTGTAACATCCCCAGGCACTCCATGTTTCTGTCCTGAAGGTCATGAAGCTGAGGGGGAAAAGTGGCACAGTCACAACCTCTCCAGACAACCCTGTCAACCTTGAGCCCTGGAAGAAGGAGCCCCGAGGGTATTAATTTATGTACAAATCATTCCAACAAAACGGCTCTAAAGCAAACTCAACCACATTCACGTTAAGGAGCTGTCTTGGGCAAGCGCTATAAGAACATGACCTCTCAGAACCTGAAACCTTCAAGGGACAAGATCAAGAGTCTAGAGAGTGTGTCCCATCACCTTCCCCACGCCTTGTTTGGAAGCCTTTTACAGCAGCTGGCAAAAGCTCAGAGCGCATTAACTGAAAAGACTTCCCACGTGTAGCGTGTGTCTGCTCTTCAGGGTCAGCAGGGCTGGTGTGCTCCTCTAAAACGTACATCACCCCACATCTCGTTCTGAGAAACTCGACTGAGGCCTCCCTCTTTCTTTCTTTTCACGGCAAAGCCACCGTGAAGGAAGAAGACCAGGACACACACGGATGCATGGTCCACGCTCACTGTAGCATTAGTAAACACCGGAAGACCAGCAGGTGGGGCAGAGGCTGGCGGGCTGGGGCAACACTGGTACCAGGCCCTGCCACGCCATCAACCTTGGCAAACATCAAGGCCGCGTTGAGAAAGCTGGTGTGAGACCTTCTTGCGTAAAGAGGAACCAGGGATTCCGCCTGTCAGCCTTGATAAACTCTGGGCTCTGGTCGGTGAGCAGACAAGTAAATGAGGGAAATGCTGCCCAGAGCAAATCTGGAGCTGCTCTCCTCATGGGGGGGGGGGGGGGGGGGGGGGGGGGGGGGAGAGAGAGAGAGAGAGAGAGAGAGAGAGAGAGAGAGAGAGAGCGCTCCCTAAGCAGCCTGTCTGTCTTGGTGAAAGCTAAATGCTTCAGCAGAAGAGCTGAGGAGACTAAGCTGCTGGGGGCTGCTCTGTCCACACACAGGGAGGTTCATTAAATGCTAATAAATCTTCATAAAATAAAACGTGCAGCTGAGGTGGTGGAGGCATACGGAGTACTGGGGAGGCCAAGGTATATAAACACAGTCACAGCCACTTTGTTTTTGACAGATGGCAAAAACACATATTGAAAAAAGACAAAAAACACTAAAATCCCAGTGTCTTTGACAAAAATGGTGCTGGGAAACCTGTGTGTGCAAATACAGAACCAGAACAGGGTCCTGCTCTTACCCTGCACAAAAAACAACTCCATCCAAGACGATGAAAACCATGACTGTCAGACCTGAGACTCTGAGACCGTAAAAGGGACAGGTAGAGAAGAGACTTGAAGACACAGGCACCGGCAAGGACTTCTTCAACCGGTCCCAGGCACTCGGGAGATCAACAGATGGGGCCTCCTGTGATCAAGAGGCTTCTGCACAGCAAAGGAAGCAGCCAATCAGTGAAGAGACTGTCAAAGGACGGGGAAAACCTTGGCCAGGGATGACCTCACAGAGCGTTAATGTCTACAGTACAATATGAAAACTAGACAAGAAACCAATCAATCAAATGAATCAGGTGATCAATAAAGGAGCAAAGAAAACCAAGCCCTCAAAACACAAGCCACAAACAGCCAATAACTCACGAGAATGTTCGGTCTCGCTGGCCGCCAAGGGAACGCGAGGCAAAATGATACTGAGATTCCGTGTTACCCTAGCCAGCATGCTACCCTTAGGAGAGCAAGCAACAATGCTCGCAAGGAGGTGGACAGAAGTGAGCCCTTCCGCAGCGACGGTGGGAATGTGAGTCAGCCCATCCACTATGGAAATCTGCTGGAGGTTCCGCAGAAAACCAAAGAGAGACCCACCATGTGACCCTGCCGCCAATCTGTGCCTTTACCAACAGACTCCAAGGCAGCGTATCACAGACCCTTGCTTTCCAGGGTCTGCTGTAACCCTACGCACAACAGACACACTATGGAACCAGTAAGCGTCTAAAACAAAGGCACAGTTCAAGAACACGCGGGTACACACAGTGCAATGCACGTCAGCCATAACTCAGAACAAAGTTATGTCATCTGAAGAAAAAGGGATACAGCCAGAGAGAGGCAATCACGCTGAGTGAATTAAAACAGCCTCAGAAGACAAATCTGTTTCCCCTCATTTGTGGTTTTAAACAAATACTATATAGCTACATAAAACCATGCGTGTATACGCGCCATAGAAGAAGGGGTGAGACTAACTAGAGGCGCAAAGGGGACAAGAAGAGTGGAGGAGAAACGTGAAGGTGGGGATGGAGGCAGTAAGCCTGGCGTCTGATACACAGGGGATGGAGGCAGTAAGCCTGGCGTCTGATACACACTTCTATGAGAAAAGCTCTCAAGTCCTATAGTCTTAAAGAAAGCCAGGTTTTCTCTGTTACTCAAGAGGAGGGCTGCCATGATCAGCTTTAGAAAAAAGACTTTTTAAAGCTTTAATTCTCAGATCTCATGAACTTCATCTTAACTATTGACTGCTGCTGCTGGATTCCAAATGTGGCCGTTCTCTTCCGTGACTCTCACAAATGTGAACGACAGCCCCATCTCCCAGTGCGCTGCAAACACAGAGGCAGGCCGCATTACCTCCATTGTCAGCTGTCGCTGGGCATCTTTGGAAGCCTGCAGGTGAAGTCTGAGCTCTTCCTTCTCGATGACATGCTAAGGACACAGAAGAGGGACACGTGAGGCATTCCTTTAGAAGACATGCTAAGAGTCTCTATCTGGGGTGCCGTCTTAGGCCTACGACAGTGACCCCAGCAGAGGCCAACTAGAGTAATAGTGTAAGCAGAACACAAATACATGTGTTCAGAGGATACGGACCCGAGTTCCTCACTGACATCAAAACTTGGAGAAAATCTGATGTATTTGCAAAAATATTTAGTACTTCAGAGTTCTTTATGATATTTTAGCAGAGGGCAATACTGAAAGAACAGAGCAAAGCAGTTAACGGGGGAGAGGCAGGTGAGGCAGCACTTGGCAGAACGCCGTGCACCGGGACAGTGCAGGACAGAGCTCGGCTGAGGGAGTGCACGCACCTCTTTAAGCTTGTGCTGCAGATCCACGATCTGAGACAGCAGGGACGAGATCTCCTCCTGGTATCGGAGCAGCTCATCACTCTTGCCCGACAGTTCTTCCGTCATTCTGGACATCTGCGCGTTGGTTTCACCTAGGAACAAAGCCAAAGTTTAGAAGGCAACACAAAGGTGTTGATTTGGGACGACCAGGGTTGAGCTGTCCTATTGCTGCTCCAGCCTAAGTATATCCTGTCTTCCCTGGCTTCCTGATAAGTCAGGGTACCCCTGCAACACTACTGTAACACATCCCCTATAGTTTGATTGGAGAGTGTGGTGCCCAGCATGGTGGTGCTGAGGTGACGGAAGGCTTGTCAGGTGGAGCTCAGCAGGAGGAATTCGGGCCCTTGGGTGCTGCCTTTGGAAAGGATCAACGCTGGTCTCTCCACGGGGGCTAGTTCCCTAAACAGCAAGCTGTTGCAAACAGGACTAACTCATGTGTTTGGCTCCTACATACAGTCAAATCCATCCCTGTTTCTCCATCATGTTTAAACAGTTAGGGGACCTTGCCTTGCTTCATAAATAGGCCCACAGCAGACAATCTGTAGATATTTGCAGACCAAGACAACAAGCACTTATAACTGTTTCTATGGAGACCGGGGGTCTAATTTCTGAGTTGGAGATAATCTCACCAAACTGCCTGAAGCAGAGAGTGATGATGTTGCTACTCACGAAGTTCTTTAACGCAGTCGTTGACCAGCTGCTGCTCCTTCTCTTCATAGGTGAAGGTTTCTGTCTTGATGTGGCAAGCCTTCAGGGGAGGGGAAACAACAACCATTGACATGACAGGTCTTCCTAATGAATCTGAAGCCAAAGCTACAGAAAGCTTTGCAGCTTGAACATCCACCTTCATTGCTTATAAAGGAAATGAAGGGATCCCATCGGATTTGAGCGCCCACAACATTTGGACTAGAAAAGGTGGGACAGACGCCTCCCTTGACTCCGCGCAGGGCTTGCACCTGCCTGCCCATGCATCTCCATCTCTGCTGGCTGCATCTCTAGCTCAGAGAAAACACCACCTGCTTACGTAGTATGTGCTGGTTCCACGGCCCTTTACAGACCCGAGGAATCTGTAATGTTCCCACATGACCCTTCTCAGCCAGTTGCTTTTAGCCACACACGATGGGCACACTAGGCTGCTGCCTCTTATCTGCCTACAGGCTCCTACCAGCTAAAGGCACAGCACTAACTGAGATGTATTTCTTCTCAGTTACTCAGACCCGACCATGTAGCGGTAATGGGAAGGGACGCGAGCTGCACCTTGGATCGAAGGGCCATGTTCTCTTCCTCCAGTTCCCTGAGCTTTTCCTGCAGCATGTCCAGTTGCAGCAAACCTTGCGATAAGCTGAAGGACTCATTGAACCGAAGAGGCGTGGAGCAGCTGGAGTCGGTCTCACTCTCCTCAGAAGCAATGGAAACGATCCGAAGCAGTTCGTCCTTCTTGGACAGCTCATGCTGCAGCTGGTTAACCTGCACACAGACTGCGATTAGCGCATCCCACACTGCTCACGTGCAAAACGGCTTGAAATTTATCTACTCAACGCGACAATAAATTACTTCTTACATTTATTGATATAGAATAAATATATTTTTAAATTTACTTTTTTTTTTAACCTTTTGGTTTCTGCGTAAGAAGCATTTGGGTATTTTAACACCATAGGCTGTCAAATGAGAACACCATTACCCCTTTTGGAGCCTGTTGGTCAGTGGAGTCCACAGACCCTGAAATATTACAGGCTGTGGCCATTGCCCTTGATCACCCCAGAACTGGATGGGAAGACCCCACAGTTGAAGATCTGCATGAGGATAGCATTGTGAGGTGCTATCCTCACAATGGGCACAAAGGAAATCATCCCTTTACACAGACTCGAGTCACTGGGCATGAGATCGAGTGGTGCTCACCTGGAGGTCCCACCCTACTGGCTAGTTCTGACAGGGCTGTCAGGTGTGCTCACCTGGAGGTCCCACCCTACTGGCTAGTTCTGCAGGGCTGTCAGGTGTGCTCACCTGGAGGTCCCACCCTACTGGCTAGTTCTGCAGGGCTGTCAGGTGTGCTCACCTGGAGATCCTGTCCCTACTGGCTAGTTCTGACGGGCTGTCAGGTGTGCTCACCTGGAGGTCCTGTCCCTACTGGCTAGTTCTGACGGGCTGTCAGGTGCTATCCTCACAATGGGCACAAAGGAAATCATCCCTTTACACAGCCGAGGACCCTGCCACCTACAACAACAACCAGCCCAGCAAGATGCCCACGGGTACAGCAGCGGCACAGGCGTCATGGGAGACACCAGTCGCTCTCTGAGTAGATTCAAAACTTGTTCCACAAGATGGAACTCATATGTGCAGCATGGATTCAGGGTCGAGAACCTAAGGGAGGACGCACTAATATCATCCAGCTAGACAGGCATGGTATTTTATTAACTCCTAATGATTTAAGCTTCATTTTTCAGTATATATATAAAGTCAATGGCTACTGGTGTCACCTGTGGTATTTCAGGAACACCCAAGGAAATACTCCTATCCACGGCAGAAGACCTCCTTATTACTATTCCTGTTCCAAGCACAGGGTCAAAGGCTTACTTGATCAAAGGCTTGTCCCAGCTGCTCCTCCAGGGCTTCATTCTGCTCAGATAAGACATGGTTCCTCTTCAGGAGAGCTTGCCCAATCCGAGCAGCTAGCTCTAGATCTCGATCCCTCTGCAAAGCAACAAACACACCTTTTCTATGAGTATTTTTTTTTTAAAAAAGCAGATAGCAGATTAGAAATTCTACAGTGAAATTTGCTAATATTAAGAGCAGATCTCCTATAAAGCATAGAGATTCATTTTACAACCCTAATAAATAAATGGACATGGGGCCAGGCATATATGTAGTGTTTGGTAAACCTGAGACAAGTAGGTGACTATGTAATTATGAATTAATTTGTAATTGCACCTCTCGGTATCAAGTAAGGTTTTGCTGACATCCTATCTGTTATGGCCATCAAACCAACTTTGCAGTTAGAACTTTAAGAAGCCAGGAAACCAAGAGAAGCTTAGATATGAAGGTGGGGGCTGAGGATTTAGATCAATAGGAAGAGCGCACTTTCAATACTCGGACTTTGGGTCACTATCCAGTGCATCCCCCAGCCTCCGACACCCAAAATAGAAAATTAGGGTGGAAGGAGCCTGCACTGTAGAAGTCCAGCCAACACTGGGTGAGTGTGCCAAGTATGGCAGGGACACAGATCAGGAGTTTGGGATGTGGGTCGGTTCCATTTAGGGGAGACTATGCATCCAGGAGCAGCAGCTGAGAGGAAGGCCTGGCCTAGAGCCCAGCCCACAGCTAGTGCAAGAGAGAACTGGAGGCTGGAAATTACGAGGTCACAGGCTTCTACCTCGAGCGTGTGAAAGGGAGTCTAGGAAGCTGGGGGTAATGACCAAGGCGTGTGGCGAGGCCAAGCGACGGCGTTCTAACTGGGTAGATCCTGATCTTAAGCAAGGGTATGGAGATCCCATCCGGGGATGATGAGGGCCTTACTTCTACAGTGGAAAACTGTTAATACACTTTTAACTGCCTTCTACGTGAATATGAGCTGCTTACATTAATGATAGATAATACAATTAAGTTTCTAACTGTTTTCTATCCAATACATGAAAATCGACCACTTCGGGGCAACTCTTCTCACTTTGATATGAGCCAAGAGGCACATATGGAAAGCATCCTGAGGAGACATGTATGTCAGAGAGAAAGTCTCCCACAAGACCAACTGAAACTGAGCTATGGGAGAGAACATTACTGCCTGCCAACTGGCAAAGACAGAGCACGCATGCTCAAACTTCCACATGGGGCTGGGTAAATGCTCAGTGGCTAAGAGCACTGGCTGTTCTCGCAGAGAACCCAGGTTTGGTCTCCAGCACCCATGTGGTGGCTAGTGACCATCTGTAATTCCAGTTCCAGAGGATCTGATGCTCTCCTGACTGCCACAGTTACTGTACACACACACAATCAGGCAAAAAAAAAAAAAAAAAAAAAAAAAAAAACCCATATATGTTAAACGAGCAACAAATAATAAAAAACCCTTAAAACTTCCACAGGCAAATATGGAAATAATGGCCTGAGCCGGAGGTGAGCAGGAGACGCTCCAAACTGCGGGGATCAACTGAACCACAGCTGCTTTTTCAACAGCAGCTTGGCCTAGGTGACTAGCAGCAGGGACAGCTTAGAGGTGACTTTGGGGGTGGACGTACGGCTCAGTGGTTAAGGCTTTGGACTGCCCTTGCAGAGGGTGCAGATCCCAGCTGCAAGCAGTCACACAGGCAGCTCACACGACTCACAACTCCAGCTTCCAGGGATCCAGTGCCTACTGCACTCGAGAGTGCTCCCCGGCCCCAGTAATCACAAATAAAAATACAAGCTTTGTGAACAATCAGAGAGGTCAGCCGGCATTGGGTCTGCCCATCCACACACATCATAATGATGAGCTTCAGGAGATCCATGCCACTTTGGGAAGTCGGCTGTGTATCACCGGTTCAGCTGTGCTTATATCTTATGTAAAACACCCTAGAAATCTGGTTGATTGTCATGGTTTAGCTGTGCGAACCGGGTACAGTCTGAGTGAGCCGCACGTTTTAGTTTTATACTGGAGAAAGAAGTGATATACTCATACCTCTGCCAGGAGATGTGTGACCATGTCGATGTCATTGTAGGTTTTGGTCATCTGCTCCACTCTGTCTGTGCCTAGAACTGAGGCAGTCAAGACAATTCTTTAGAGGCTTTCCGCACACCAGAAAACACGTGATACTCATTAAAATCCCAAGTACCAACAAAACCCCCAGATTTCTAAAGAATATTCAGGAGAATAAAAACACAAAAACAGAAAGAGAACAAGGGTTCATGGACATAGCATCCAAGATTCACCAACCATTACAAAAAATGTACACACATACAGTAAACTGAGAGTGTGTCAAGCGGTCACGTGTCAATCAGGTCCTGACTACTTCTTTTACATCTTTCACCCCTAGGGAGATAAGTTTGGTCCACTCACATCTGAAAGTGTGAGCTGGGAATCCAGTTACCTACTTTATAGCTGGATCAGTTAAAGTTAAAGTTACTGAAGAACAGCCGGGCGGTGCTGGCGCACACCTTTAATCCCAGTGCTCAGGAGGCAGAGGCAGGTGGATCTCTGTGAGTTTGAGGCCAGCCTGGTCTACAAGAGCTAGACAAGGACAGGCTCTAAAAGCTACAGAGAAACCCTGTCTCGAAAAACCAAAACCAAAACAAACAAACAAAACCAACAAAAGTCCTTAAGAGTTAAGCTGCTGTCACAGAATCGAATTATAAAGTCCTCACAGACTTAAACTCAAGAAACAAAGAGAAATGGTAACAGAATAGTTTTCTTCTAAAATACATTTCCAGAAAAATATCAGCAACCAACAGGAGCAGCACTAAAGGCCTCAGTGTGGTGCGTGCAGACACACGCATACAAGTGTAACAGGATATTACTAAAGAGGAGGTCATGAATTTGAGAGGGTATAGGAACTGGAGGGGGCTAGGAAGAGGGGTGGAAGCAATGTAAAACTCTAAAAAAATCTAATATTTTTGATAAAAAAGACAATCTTGAGAGCCTTAATGTAATATACTTCAGTTATTTAAACTATTAAGGGGCAGAAGTCCATTTTTAATTGGCCTTCTTGATATTTCAAGTTTAATCAGTATTTACACCCCAACACTCCCTCCCCCGTTTCTTGTGCACACACACGCACAAGCACACACACGTGAGCACGTGCGCGCACACACACACGTGAGCGCACACACACACATGTACACAAACATGTGCACACACACACACACACAGAGTTCTAGGAAACCGCCACCCAGAGTGGGTTAATAATTTCTATGCAATGAGCACTCACGGCAATCATTCTCCAACACAGTCTGTCATTAAGAGGCACGAGGGCACAATGGCTTATCTGGCGAAGGCGCCTGTCGCCAGGTTCAATGACCCGAGTTTGAACCCTATTCCCACAGGTTGTCCTCTGACCTCTACACTAGATTATGGTACAAGGGCCTCTCCCTACTATAAATAAATACATGCAATTAAAAAAAAAGCCACCTAAAATGCTCCCTGGGAAAATGTGTAATATTTTATGTAATCTTCCAAGTAAGTCAATTTCAAATTATAGGAATTTCACAAACATTAATGCGGAGCTCAGGGGCTTTTATTACACAGTCTGACAGCTACCGTGTGCATAACATCTTTATACTGGACGGGTAATGGAACAAGTAAAAAAAGTGTAAAAAGGAAGACCAAGCTACAAGAAAATGGAAATGAGTCTCGGTGCCTGGGACAGGTCTGGCTCAGTTCGTCATCTGTATGGATCACTGAGTGTGAAGACCACACTGCGGCTCCCATGCGCCTCTCCTTGGCGTGATGGGAAGTGCTCAGACGCATGCCCGGAATCCCTGGCGCAGCATGGTCAGGGGTTCCAGACCGACGATACAGTACGCTCAAGGCAGTCCAGGCTGTAGAGCAGCCCGCCTTTAAAAACGAAAACACGAAGTATGTATGCGTCTAAGAATTATGTTCTTTACAGAATGGTGTAATTCCTGTATTTGATAGGGGAGGCTAGGAACCCAAAAAGCTAACACACAAGGTACCAGAGTGTCGGGATAGACAAAGACAGGCAATCATAGGTAACTGCACTGTTTTTAAAACAGTTCTGGTCTCTCTCAGGTGACAGACAAAGGCAGGGTAAACTCAGTCACAAGCATGGCAACAGCTTCTTCTCCCAGTCATAAGCGTGACAACAGTTCCTCTCTGCCTGTCAGGTCAGGCTAAGTTACAGCAGGTAGACACGGGACAAGGGCTGCTGGATGCTCACTGTCTTAAAAGGCAATACTAAGATACGGCCTGTCTTTTTTGTTTTGTTTTGTTTTGTTTTGTTTTGTTTTGTTTTGTTTTGTTTTGTTTTTTCGAGACAGGGTTTCTCTGTGGTTTTGGAGCCTGTCCTGGAACTAGCTCTTGTAGAACAGTCTGGTCTCGAACTCACAGAGATCCGCCTGCCTCTGCCTTCCAAGTGCTGGGATTAAAGGCGTGTGCCACATACGGCCTGTCTTTATCTCCACGCACAAACGCTGGATGGGTCACAACAACAACCACAACAACCACCACAACCACCACGACTTACTCATGTAGCGGAACGTCTCCTCGGCAAGGACGGGAGAGAGAGTCTCCGGCGCATCTTGAGGCTGGTGCTGGGGTGAAGACTGCGCCCAGTCTTGGTTCTCGTAGAGAAAGAGGGAGTCGACCCTGAGCTTATACTGCGGCAGCTGCTCTTCCAGCAGGTTCACCAGCTCGACTTCGGGGAGATCCTCGCTGGAGCAGACATCTGGGAAGGAGAGAGTCACTGTAGTTGAAGCTAGTGTGTTCCATCTGTCCGGAAATTAGCTTCGCGAAAGTAGGAGACCAAGGATATGTTAGATGAGATCATCTCTCTCCTGACTTATTAGTGTCTTCTAGTGACACGGAGGAGGTTTGAGTTCCAGCCTAGTGATGAACTATGACAAACACTCATACCTTGGTACACAACACCTGGCTCAGGTGGAGACTCTGACTAGATGCTGGCAGTGTCATTGTGCACACGGAGGTCAGAGGACACGGGGGCGTTGGTCCTCACTTCCTACCCCGTTTGCTGCCGCTGTGTAGAGTGCCAGGCTGTGCAGCCCGTAGGCTCAGGGGACTTTTCTGTCTCCAGCCCTCATCTACTGCACCCGGTTCCTCGTGCGTGGGCGTGTGACAAGGGCTTCACCGCCTGAGCCACTGCCCCAGCCTGGCTCTTTTTACTATTGCTGTACTGCCGAGTCTTTAGACTCTGGCACGGTCAGTGTTAACTGTCAGCCTGGCAGAATTTGCAATCACCTGGGACACGGACCTCTGGAAATGCCTGCAGGGGTGGGAGGCTGCACACAGAAATTCTCACGCATTGTCTTTGACATACCAAACATACCTCTATCCAGAGCCTCGATTCCCCAGCTGCCCCCTGTCCTGTTTTTCAGTTTTAATATTAGAAAGTACGTGGGCTCTGGCATCAAATCTAGTGTCTAGATCTGACTCCTCCACATGTTAATGATGGGATATTAGACACAAGACTCATCCCTCCTGAGGCCCATTCCCCACACATTCACAAAATGAAGAGGATCTATTACATCCGGGGTCACACCTGGCACACAGGAGGCACCCACTGCATACTGCTGATGTCACTAGTCTCTCCCCTCACAGGCTGGCTCTGAACACAGTCGGGACCCTCTTGTATGTCTGCTACTGGCTTCCTCCCAGATTTAATGTTTACAAAGAAAAGTTATCTCTTTTAACACAATTAGAACACTAGGGCTTAAAACAGAGAAAGCGGAGCAGGATGGCAGATCCTCCCTCTCGCTTCTGGGAAATCTGGTATTTCCTTTGTGGGCAGCATAAAGAAACATGCTCGAACCCTGACAACAGACAACACTTCAAGAGAATAAACTCTGAAAGAGGACATTTTTATTAGCTGGCCTGAACTGACCAAGGGCAATTTAATAAGTTCAATACAAAGGCGGGCACTATCGCAGGTCTCCATTTAGCCAGAAGAGAAGCAGTGGCCTCCTAACCACAAGAAGAGGCGTGGTCCATTTAACCCTTCACCATAGTTCCAAAGACCCTTCACGCCTTGGTCCATTTAAGCCTGCATCATGGCTCCAAAGACCCTTCACACCTTGGTCCATTTAAGCCTTCATCATGGTTCCATAGACCCTTCACGCCTTGGTCCATTTAAGCCTTCATCATGGCTCCAAAGACCCTTCACACCTTGGTCCATTTAAGCCTTCATCATGGTTCCATAGACCCTTCACGCCTTGGCAGAGCTATTGCACAATAGCTCTATATCACTACAAACGCCAAGCGATTATGCACACTTTGCTTGCTGCACACACATTACAGATGGTCCTTCTAATGCTGGAAACTGACTATAGATGCACGGACAGATGAGGTGTTCCAGAATATGGAGGAAAGGGAGAACACAGACAATACCCGGTTGTTTCTCATTCTTCAGAGACTCTTTCACACACTCTCTTCTCCCCAGTCACACTGACTCCGTTTAGGTTCAGGGATTCTTTTCGGTTTTTCTAAGTATGGTTTTAGAACCAGGCTGCCTTTAATACACTCAGATTGTCCGCCACGCTTCCATCATATGACTCCCCCACTTAAGGGAAAAAGGCATGTGAGTTTCATCTCTCCGGAATAAAAAAAAAAATACACAAACAACCGCTGAATGCCTGAGCAATTAAATTAATTCTAGAATACAGAATATTGGAGTGGTGATCCATCTAACAAAGATGAACCAGTCCCAAAATGAGACCCTTATCACCAAATGCTTTACCAAAGCAAAACTGAACTCTCTAAGAAAAACCACTTATCTAGAATATATCAGGAACACAAGATTTAACATTTAAAAATTCATTCATAAGTGAGTGGTGGTGGCCCACACCTTTACCCCAGCACTCAGGAGGCAGAGGCAGGTGGATCTCTGAGTCTGAGGCCAGCCTGGTCTATAGAGTGAGTTCCAGGACAGTCAGAGATACACAGAGAAACGCTGCCTAAAAAAGTCATTCATCATCATCAACAACAACAAAATCCCAAGCAAATCTTTAAGAGAAGCTCACAAAAAAGAGAAGCTCAATTCATCTGAAATTCTAGCACAAGCAAACTGCATCCAACAGAAGTGCAGAGCTGAGGGCTGCCTGGAGCCGGAGTGAGGGCTGAGATGTGGATGCAAGAGAACCTGTACGGGATGCTATGACGTCCTGAGAACCTGCACGGGATGCTATGACGTCCTGAGAGCTTGCACGGGATGCCATGACGTCCTGAGAACCTGCACGGGATGCTATGACGTCCTGAGAGCCTGCACGGGATGCTGTGACGTCCTGAGAACCTGCACAGGATGCTATGACGTCATGAGAGCCTGCACAGGATGCTATGACGTCCTGAGAACCTGCATTGTCCGGTCTTTTTTTTTTTTTTTTTTTTTTTTTTGGCTTTTTTGGTTTTGTTTTGTTACGTGCATCTGGGGTTGAACCTGAGTTGTGAGGACTGCATTTCTCACTGAACCACTTCCCTGGCTCCATTTGGTGATTTTAAAACAAAAACCTTAGGAAAAAAAAACCTTCTAAATACTTGGAGTTTTTCAAAAGGATATATTTATGTCTCTATTTTTATCTGTTTGTGTCTATGTGAGCAAATGAACATACGTGTGTGTGGGTGCACACATGTGGAGACCAGGAGACACTCAGTCTCCCTCTGCTCCTTCTGTGCCTTTGAGGCAGGAGCTCTCCCTGGATTCGGGGCTGTATTTTCTAGCTGAGCTGGAAACCAAGCAAGCCTCAGAGGGCCTCTGTCTTGGCTGCTCAGATCTGGTGCAGCGGGTGTGCACAAAACATCCAGTTGGCCACGCAGGTGCTGACCCAGCCTCTGGTCCTTGACTGCAGAGCAAAGCACTCTCCAGTCCCTGAGGTTTGACTTTTTTTAAATTTTTCATTTCTAAAGCTTATTTATTCTCACGGATAAAACTTAAGGGCCTACAACAATGTCGGTCCCTGCAAGCTCTGGGGGCCTCCTGGGTGCCAGGCACAGTGCCCAGACACTTGCAGGTTCCTAAACACAGGTGCGTTGCTCTGACACAGTTCCTGCTCACAGGCCCAGTGGGTATAGGGGAGCCCAGCACAGACAAAGGGCTGCACAGAGGGAGGAGTGGATAATGTAACTGGACACCCTGTGATACAGTGATTAATTCAGGCTGCCTCTGAGGCCGCCTGGCTGGACATGGAGGCTGGGGATTCGTCAGAGCAGGACACATAGGCCAGACTGAGGCGCCTGCGCTTGGTCCTGCAACGTCGTGACCCTGAACTCACCAGTGATGCTCTCCGAGTCTCTGTGGTTGCTATTCATGGGGTTCTCTTCACCTGTTGGCGATGTGAAAATGGCATCCTGGGAGTGACTCATGCAGAATCCTCTCTCGCTGTGGCTGAAAGGGATCGCTTTGGTACGCACTGGGGTAAAGGAAATCCATCAAGCCATTCGGGAAAGAAATGGACGCGGTCATGTGTACGCTCCCTTTAGGACAGGGTTTCCGTGGTGAGTCAAGTGACATCTGCGGCTGTCAGTGCTCATGTGGTTGTCAGCCCCTGGACAGTCATAGCCTAAAACAAAGAACAGACCCAGTGGTTAGAGTCCAGCACTCCCCTTAATAACAGGACTCTCGTTACCCAGCATGCCTGTCATTAAGGATGTTTTTCTTCTAAGATACACACAACAACATGAGTGAACCTCAATGGAATTAGGCTGGACGAAACAAATAAATAAATCAGCTCATGATTTATGATTCCATTTTTATAAGAATTCTAAAAAAAAAAAAACCCAACATGTCTATGGTACCAAAAAGCAGATCAATGGCTGGGTTAGGAAAGGACTTACTCGTGCGCAGGAAAGTAGCTTGGGGGATAATGCATGGAGTCACCGTGACAAAGGACAGTGAGTCTGAGGGCAGCCTGGGCTGCACAGAATTTCAGGGGGGCCTACACAACTTAATGCGACCTGGTTTCACACGGACCAAAGCCAGGCCCGGTGGCACCTCCTTTAATCAGGTCCTTGCAAGGCCTGAGGAGGCAGAGCTCTGTGATAGGAGGCCAGCCAGTACTATACAGTGAGACTCTGTCACGAAGAAAATACAAAACAAATGAAACAAAATAAACAAAAGTTGCAATGCACTAAATATATGTCTACTTAAAACAAGCAACAACAACAAAAACAGGGAAAACAACAACAAAAACAGGGAACTGTTATCAGTTAGGAAATGTTCAGTTCAGCTAGGTGGGTGGTGCACACCTGTGGTCTCAGGACTAGGTGGCGGGGGTGTGTGTGTGTGTGTGTGTGTGTGTGTGAATTCACGGCCATAGTGGGTGTGCTAGGGAGCCCGTCAGAGGTGGCAGTGGAAGGAAGGGGTGTTCACCCTAGCTATCAGCGTTGCTTACATAAAAAGACAGTCTGCTAAACAGACAGTCAGCCATTCGCAGCTTGCATCCTCGTAACCACTACTTAGAGGCATCAATACTCAGTTATGTCTAAGAAGTAGAGAACACAGAAAAGAACCAAGTAAGGGAGTCTGAGAAATAAAAGGTCAGAGAGGAAGAGCAGAGACATACTTAAAACACTAGGGACACACGTTTCAGAGACAAAGTGAGCATCAGAATCAGAGAACTCAGAGGGGAAACTTGTCACCTTGAAGCCAGTGCAGTTAAAGAGTGAGACCCCAACCAGGCTGGTGAAGAGACTGCACGGCAAGAGAGGGGCTCGGGGAACACAGATGAGAATTCCCAACACCTCAGACCGGGGAACTTTCAAAACCTTCTGCGGTGACGGGCAGAGGGTTTCCTGACTGCTTCTATCACACTCTTCCTTTTGAGATTTTATTTTTATTTTATGCGTTAGTGTTTGCCTCAGTGTGTTTGCACACCACATGTGTGCAGTGTCTGTGGAAGAAGTAAGAAGAGAGCATTGGATCCCCTGGGACTGGAGTCACAGACAGTTGTGAGTCACCTTGTGGGTGCTGGGAATTGAACCTGGGTCCTCTGGACGAGCAGCCAGTGCTCTTAACCACTGAGCCATCTCTCTGACCCCATTCTATTACTTCTTAAAACATTTTATAAGGAAAAAAAGAAAAAAAAAAACAGACTAGACAGCAGTCTTTTCTCCCCAAAAGTTTGTAATTTCATGCTGGTGTAACAAAAATTTAATTTTATACAAATGACTCAGGTAATTTTAATAAATACGTAAAGATTCGTTTATGTGTGCGACTATTTTCCTGTGGGTCAGCCGGGGCAACGTGAAGCAAAGTTAGTCGTTGTCAGGGACTGTGATTCTCGTCTTCGAAGGTCATTTTCTGAGGGCACTTTACCGCGCACCCTTGGTTTCCCCTCAGTATCTTGCTATTCAAAAGCTTGTTATTGTCATTTCTAAAACAAGCACTGCAAAGGGAATAGAAAGATATGTGGAGGAAACCATTAAAAATTCGCCTCTGAACCTGGTACAGAAACAAAACATGGACGAAGCTCCGCCCACAGAGGGCGGGAAAAGCGATTCGCAGGTTCGTGCGGTTTTAATCAATCTTTTGGGAGGTTAAACTACTCCCAAACCTGGACTTGAAATAGAGGGGGTGTCTGGGGGCTAGGGAAGTCACTCAGCGAAGCTTTGTACTGAAGCCCAGGGCCCCTTACAAAGCCTGCCACAGTGGTGCGCGCTCCCCCTGGTGGGGAGGCAGAGAGAGCTGGACCCCTGGAGCTTGATGGTCCCCTAGCCTAGTCTACGAGGTGAGTTCTAGGCTAGTGAGTAACTGCCTCAAAAAATAAGGTGACCGGCTCTTGAGGAACACCACTCAAGGCTGACCTGTCCCCTCCCCTGAGGCATGGGACCCACACACCAGTGAACACAGGTAAGCAAGGAAGCTAGCGGCGCATTCTGTGCTCAGAGTGACCTTGACACCAGGCAGGTCACCAGTGCGCTCAGCAAACTGCTGACAACACCAACACCCACATTTGGCCGGCCACCTGTTTTACAGAGAGCTAAGAATAACTTTTACTTTTAAATGGTAGGAAGAAAAAAAATACACAATGTAAAAATAAGACAGAATTTAATTTTCAGTGTACAAATGAAGTTTTCCCGAGACACAGATACATTCTTGTTTAATAAAGTGTCCATTGGTTGCATTCATACTCCATGGCAGCTTAGCAATGGTCTTTGTGCCATTGGCTGTAGACACACACAGCCTGCAGATGTGAGAATCTCTCTCTCTCTCTCTCTCTCTCTCTCTCTCTCTTTCATACACACACACACACACACACACACACACACACGCACACACACTGTAGTAAAATAATTCAGTCACTAAAATACTATTATGTAGAACTAAGCTTTCTAAGACCAACCTCTGAAAGCTGGGCTCCTACATTTATACCCTTGTAATCTGACTAAAAGGACAGACTCCAACTCGCTACACTTCTAAGCACACTTAAAAGGTACTCTCGATGTCTAAAAAAGCCCCCATTGAAAGCAGTAAGTCACAAATTTGCCTGTGAAGAAAGGGAAGGGGGGCCGTGGAGAGGGAAGGACGAGGAAATTGGGGGAACTGAGGGGAATTAAAACAGAGTGTCTAACTGGTCCGAGATGGTTCTTAAACAGAGCTTTTTGGAAAAAAGATCTGTCTGTCTGTCTGTCTGTCTATCTATCTATCTATCTATCTATCTATCTATCTATCTATCTATCTATTATGTATATAGTGTTCTGCCTGCAGGCCAGAAGGCGGCACCAGATATCATTACAGACGGTTATGAGCTATTATGTGGGTGCTGGGAATTGAACTCAGGTCTTCTAGAAGAACAACAGCCAGTGCTCTTAACTCCTGAGCCATCTCTCCAGCCCTCCGTTTTTATTTTTTAACTTTGCCTTTTCAATTTATACATTATCATCTAAGTACACAAACATTTATATATGGATTTTGATTCTGTGCCCCAGGCCTTTGCTCTAGAGAACTGCCTTTCGAATTAGCTCTGGAGTCTTGTTGCTGGTCTGAACGCTGGCACACAGGAGCAGAGAAAACTGAACTCACACGGAACTAAGTCCACGGCGAGAGTCATGCGGAAGGAATGCAGACCTCCAGGGCAGTCCAGGGACCTGCCAGGCTGCACAGGGCACCAGGTCAGGGGTGGCTGAGCAAGGCAGTACTTTCCTGAGAAGACCGAGCAATGCGCCCCGCCTGACTTGGTCTCCTCAGGAAGGGCAGTCGGGTAGCAGCAGGGACCGCGGTTCACTGAAGTCTGAATTTTAACCTGGTTCACCGTGCTGCTGACCTTGCGCTCGGTACTTACTGCTTCTGAATTTTATTTCTTTTTGCCAAGATCGGGTTGTTCACAAACAAGAAGGGTCAGATATGAAGAGTAAATAAAAAATAAAAATCCCTATTTTGGCAACTGAGATGCAGGAGAAACTCAAATGCTGTTTTTTTTTTTAATTATTATTATTTTATTTTATTTTTATTTTTTTAGCTTTTCTCTATCCCTTAAGCCTGGGGAAGGCATGTTTTCTGCCTAATATTTCCTAAGTTCCCAGCGTGTCTGAATATTGGCAGGTGCATCTCATGATCAGCTCTGAGTAATTTTTAACCTGAAAGAGACAAGATCCAAGAGGTTGGAAGAAGTGACCTCAGGCTGTGACCATTGAGGAGATTATCACTGGAGTCATTCCCTGTGGACTCTCAGGAGGTCCTGTTTGCAGTAGCAAGTCTCCCACTCCTTAGCCGGAAAGGCTTTCCGGAAGCTCCAACAAGCTACCATAAACTTAGAGCCTGACCCATCTTCTACACGCGTTGTCCAGTTCTGGGGGTCAGAGGCACGGATGGCTCTGATGACCGTAGCAAGGTGACGGCAAGGTCATGCTCCTTTGCTCTGCAGGCTCCAGGGAATCTTTTAGCTGTTGCAGCCGCATTTCTCGGCTCTGGGCCTCTCCTGCTCTCTCTCTCTCTCTCTCTCTCTCTCTCTCTCTCTCTCTCTCTCTCTCTCTCTCCATAAGGAACCTATAATCAATGCTTAAGATCCAACTGGCTAAACTCCCTCTCAAGCGCCTGCCCGCAAAGTCCCTCTGCCTAATGTGACAGCCACGGGTTTCCACGAGTCAGACAGGGCGCTGGGGTTGAGCTGTGATTCAGGAGACTGCAGTGTTAAGAATGTGAACCACAGTCCACCACTCACAGGTCGTATCATCTTCTCCTGCTCCATCACGTGTCCAGGGATGGAACTCAGACGGACAGGCCTGGTGGCAAGTGTCTCTCCTGCTGAGCTACCTCAGAGGCCGTGGTTGTGTAATTCTGCAAACTACGTAATGGTGTTTCTTCATCTGCTGAATGGGTTTATGAACATGATCTACTCTAGGGGCTTAGGTGAGGATTAAAGGGGCCATGAGAGCAGCGGCAGCCTCGGAGGGCCACTGGGGCAGTTACAGACTCAGTTCAAGCAGAGCGCAGAACGGCTGTGTGAATCTTGTTATCATTATCTCTGCACTACCCACGTGCTCTTTTATTACAATTGTTATTCATGTTACCGTACCCTTCCCAACATCCAGCACAACACAAAGGCTACTGGACACTCCTTGG